TCGGCGGTTAAATTCAATTAGATTGATTGATGAAATGTGACTTTTATAACGAATTTTTAATAGGTAATAATTAACACGAGTTCGTTGGTCGGGTATGTGTAATGTCCGTGGCCACTAACCTCGTATATTTTATAAAATACAAGTATTTTTCATCAACTCAACACCATCGATGTTTGCGTAGTTATTGTTAATAAAAAAAAAGAGAGATAACTTTATGGATATAGTTTTTTTTAATACTTTAGCACGTGTACATTTATTTTGTTTTACATTATCATTAAACGGTTTATTACTTGTAAAACACTTTATCAGTCCTATGAAAAAAAAACCCTTCTTAGTAATGAAGATGACATGATGTCATATACATGGAACACGAGGAGACTGCGATAAAGTATAATTACCACACAGTCTTTTGGCTTGTTATTATATTAAGTACTTGGTATCAAAAGTGTTTATATGCTCGTGTTAATGGCCTGACGTTGAACATATGTGACCAACCTTTGGATCGGATACAAGACATTAATTGCTGTAATTTGAAAAAAATAATTCCTGTTGGTTTTTTTTTTTTTAACAAACAGGTGATTTTCATTAAAAGCAAATTAAAGAGGGCGAATGCGTCAGAACCCACAAGCTTTCAACTTTCACTAGCTTAGTTACGATTAGTTTTTCTAGTATTTTATTTTTTTTGCTCGTCACTTTTTTTATGGTAGGGATATTTTTTATAATAACGCCTATCTCAAGGTACCGTCTCGGGGCTCATATAGGTCTTAATCCGACCCTGATTAAAAGGTTTAGAAGGGAGTAGGCAATGTAGTGATCATTATTCAAAAACATTTATTTGACAACGCTCAAACACAATGTGTATTAGAAAATCGTTAATTATTGATTATAATATGCATTCTAAGAAAGAAAAAATCTTGACATTAAAACTCTATTTGGGTGCTACCTAAGCATAAATGTAATCCTTCGTAATTAAAATTCAGTGCACGCTCCGAGTTCGCCCTCAGGTAAACTCCACTTTGGATAATTTTTGCCCTGTTGGTAAAATGTCTTTGTAGATATACTTGTGTTTTCATAACGGTTCGTTTCCAATTTGTTAAATTTACATGTACGTGTGTCGTCACCCTTTCCTTAGGGACGTAAACTTATAAAAGAAATGTCTCGCGTTGATCAAATTGCCTCTCGATTCCCTAGAAAACTCTTTTTTGGTCCTCATTGTTTTTGTCTCTGTTTTTCGCATGGAAATAGTAGCGAATGCAAATGTTTCTTAGTCCTTTGGCGTCGATCAATCTTTCATGTGCTCTCCAATGAAGGAAAATCGGGTTGTGCATATTTTACGGGGACGTTTTTATATGATTTAGCTGTTTTCGTTATTCACGTGCTTTGCAATGCGTACACCTGCTCTTGTTTGGAGTGCCAACTGTTATGTAGTCATATTGGATATTTATTTTAATACAAACGCGCATCGCATACGTGTTTTTGAATTTTAACCTTGGAAGTGTAGTCCAGTCGAGTTTTCACATGAGAATCCATTAATAATTATTTCCAATGACGCATTACTTTTTATTAATTTCGTTTTTTTATTATGTTATTTAGTTCCAACTTATTGGTTGTTAACAATTATTATTTTGTTTTGATAGTGAGAATCATTGTTCGACTATCGCAATGTGTGCAATTAGTTGTCAGTCAATTCATTCATGAAAAACTGAATTAGTAATTTAAAACACTTGGTCGATATCATTAGGTCAAAAGTGGCAGCGAAAATTTTTACGCGCTTTAAAAACGTTATACTTTAACGGTATCAATTATTGACTGGCGATAAAAATTAATTCAACAAGAGTATCAATTACTACTCCCGTAGGAGTGGTTTTTTCAGTCATCGGTTATCAGATGAAAACACTTGCGCAGTTCCTTGTCCTGAACTGCTATTGATCGTGTCATTTCCTTAAATTGTAACCGGAAATCAATGGTTCCGTCCGAAACAAACGTGTTTGGTTATTCATATAAACAACAATATTTCATCATTCAGGCCGCGTTGTATGTATACCGCGGCGTTGTATGTACACCGCCCGTATCAGTGTTGTCGATCGATACACGCGCCGACATAGATTTCTGTTCGCAGGCTACACGCATTCGTTAGTAAACAAATTGTGTCTGTTCCACCGTATTATTACAGCTAGTTTTGGGCCGGAGCTTACGTTTAGTACGAGACTCGTGCCGTCACACGATTTCGAATCGATTGAACCGAAAAACGGCGGCGGCTGTGTATTTTTTCAAATGCGCCTCTTTACGTACACATTGCGATGGACACCGCCTGCTTTCACGTGCACTTCACAGTGCTGGATTATCTGTGTACAACACGTTCCGACACATTTCGTCTAGTAGTTTGTAATAAAGTTTCCGACTTGCGTATCGCGGCTTGTTTACACGACTCGCGGAATTCAAAGCAGATAAACGGCTCAACTGTTGTTTACACAAAACGGTTTAAAACTTTTTAGATGAGCATCGAAACAGTTTTCCACCTCGGAGCATTATCAACAACTTCTCAAACGAATTCATTATTTTTCACCGACATTTCGTTCAACTTTGATTACCCGTTTTGCTGCAACACGTTAACGCGCAATTGAATAATAACTCGTTTCCGAAGCGTTTCCTCAGAGTTATAATTCCGTTTGAATATGATCGAGTTTCGCGATGCACATAATTGCGACTAATAGTGTTTGGGCGGTCGATCTAATTGGTTTACGATAATAATTCTCAAGAATAATTTACGTTGAGCTGCATTCGATAGGTGACGAAATAATAATTAATCAAAATTAATAACAACTGCAGTCGTGTATCGATCACCACGCACTACTCTATATGTTTACAACAGTTGTCAGTCTCATTACTACTGTTCCGTTAATGCTTTTACACCTTCTGACACTTGTTGCAGTATAAACATTACGGACGGGGTTGTGTTACCGAGTAGTCGTGCGAAAATAGTTCATTTGTGCGTCGTCATCGTTCCGATTTTACTCGTCACGTTTATTCATTTTTTGTTTTATATCTCCTCGACTTTAATTTAAAAAGTGCCGTACTGAACAGCACATTTCCATGTTGATAAAATATCGTATTACACTGTTATTTTTTAGCCTCTGGCTAATTTAATAAAAACAAAAGAGTTTATTAATGTTTACAAAGCTTGATTTGATTTTTGTAAATATCTATGGCAAATAGATAGTAATGGTTATAATATAACCATTACACGTGTATATTGGTAATAGTATAACCATTACACGTGTATATTGGTAATAATATAACCATATGCGCGTTGTCGTCTTGCTTACAGTTCATATTGAAATCTCATGGAACGTTCGTCTTTTTTTCTTGACAAAATGGCTGAACTAAAACGTATCTCAACAATTGAAAAGTTTTAACTAATTAAGTTTTCGGGCCGGATGGAATACATTAGATGGTTCCGATAACTTTACATTGACTATAGAACTTTTTTTTTTTCAATCAAAAAGAGATTTAATGTCTTTGTAATTATATCCACTCGCGCAGTGTACGACGCCTCTTAGATTAATTGCAATCGCAGAACAATTCCAAATATTGCCTGGAGCATTCGGTCGAGTTGTACAGTGTAAGTGTATCGAGTCATCAATCATTGACACTTTTGCAGAACATTTGTACGTAAACTTTTCACGTTGTCACAGTCTTACGTTTTTTATACGTACGATTTGGGCGTCGGTATGAACAAATCACTATTTGTTTAAGAATATTTTGAGGTTTCGACCGTCTTGACGTTCAAAGGTTTGTGTTGATAAATGTTTGCTTTTTAATTAATTCCAATTAATTTGGTTTCGTGACGAGGAATTTAAATTTTCCAAGTGTTGTAATTTAACTTGCGCAAGAGAAAATGAGTAATTTGAGAGATGCAATCTTATTGTTTAGCTGGAGGTTAAAGTAGTCACTGTTGTGTAAATATCTTTAAACACGTTTTCATTTTCATTAGTTCGCCTTGATGTTGGCCGGTATTTGACAATTTCCTCAACGCCCATTTTAATGCCTGAGAAATTATACGGTACATTGGATGATTTTAATCGATACTAAATTTGTTGAGTTTAAGTGCAAGTTTCTGAACGCTATAATTGTACATTTATTAGTTACGATTATACTTTAGGTTTCGTTGGTTTATGATTACTATAATTTTTTACCGATTATAGTTGGTAAAAAAATAAAAACTACTCGGTCGTTTTCAAGGTATGGTTTTCCGGATTAATTAGTGTAAACTCGGAATTTTGCTTAACGAATAAAATTTAATTAAAAAGTAGTGGGCTATTAAAGTGAACTATAAAAACGTTGCATTATAAACGACTTAAATAATAACGTTAAAATACTGTTGGGCTTAAGGAAAAATAAAAAATGAATTTAGTCGGTATCATCGTGGAATTTTACGGGGGTCTCTCACCGTAATCTCGTTTTGTATTCGAGCGGAGTTAATTCATTTTGATTTTTTTTAATTTTCGTTAAATTTTCTTTTTCTATAATTGCCATGATATCTATGCGGTTAATAACAAAAAAGGAAAACGGTAAACTTTTTTAACGTGACGTATTTTTCAACAATTTTTAAAAAGGAAAGCTTTACACTGGCGAGGCTTATTACCCGGAAATTCGATGAGTGATTTTAGTGTTTTTCACATTTGCCCCCTCCTTTGTGTGCCCTCATCGTCTGTCATTATTTCGTTAACATCCCGTTGCCACGACAACGGCAGCTATAATGATGTTGATGACGCCGAAAACGTCGGAAGTGACACAACAGTTTTGCAACAACAATGTAATAATAATAATAACACAAAGTACTAGGCTCGTGACGGACAGGGTAATGCATCTGAACCTAATTAAGTTTCGGATCTCTCGAGCGATATCCTTCAAATCCTTCCTTTTTTTTTTTTTTATCCCTTTCTCGTGAAATTGAGTTTTATCTGTAATGTAATGGGCCGACGTATTTTTCTTTTCAGGCCGCAGGAAATGAATAAGCTGTCGTCAACACGGTGGTCATCACAGCAGAACCTGATCATCTTGAGTCGGCCGTCGTCTACGGTGAAGACGTCGTCGAGGGACGATCGATTTCGTAGTAAACTCGACAAGCGACACCGCCGTTTGCTTAACCCGTCAACACCGCGGTGCTGCGATCCCGCGGTGCGTTGACTCTGAACAGGCGCCACCGCAGCTACCGCCGCCCACGCGTTGTTTCTCGCCGACTACAGTCGGTAGTCGCACGCATACGAATAAGTAAGCGGCCGATTCATTTTGATACAAAAAGTATTGGCCGCCACTGTTGTTAACCTCGTCCCTACCGACACCACCGGTCCGTACGCGAAAACAAACCACTTGCCGCTCGTCGCCCGGCGACAACACGCGGTTCCGACGCGCGCGCCTCTGACGCAACAGTCTGTGGCGGCGGAGCAGAAGAAATGCGGTGCATGTTATCGTCGTCACGCATCTCCAGTTCACCACTGTGAGCTACCTCGTGTGCTTGTATGGTGCGTGAGATTGACCTCGCGCACCATATGAACCTCCGTTTTTTGCCGTAACCGAATTTCGTATTTTTCTATTTAAGTTGTCGTTGCAACCCGCCAAACGATCTAAACGTTCGTTGTTTTTTTTATTGTTTTTAAAATAAATCCTCGCGTGTGATATTCTACCGTCTACATTTTATCGTTCACGTTTCGAAAAATGAAGTACAAATTTTTGCTCAAAAACTAGCGTTCATGAACGTCTGGTCAGCCGTGTTGCTGTTGTGGTCGCTGACGGCGACCGCGGCCTCCCCGGCACCGTACAAAGAGAAGGTATGCGGTAGTGTGGAAGTGCGGAACAGTGCCACTCGACTGGCGGCCCTCCAGAATTGCACGGTTGTCGACGGGCACGTGCAAATCGTGTTGCTCGACTCTACGCAGCCGGAAGACTTCCAACCGTTCTATGCGCTCCGGGAGATCACTCAGTACTTGGTCGTCTACCGGGTCAGCGGCTTGGAGAGTTTGGGTAAGCTCTTTCCCAACTTGATGCTGATACGAGGCGTCTACAGCTCCAGTTTTCCCGGAAGAGCGCTAATGGTGCACGACAACAGCCATCTCTCCGAAATAGGATTGTACAAATTGACGAATATCACACAAGGCTCTGTCATAATTACGAAAAATCCAAGTAAGTCTAATGCATTTTTTTTTATATTGTCGATATTATTTTAAATACTTTTTGTACTTAATCATTATCTCTCGTAGTTATTATTTTAACGGAATTACAACAGTATCTACGGGGATTTATTTTGAAAGTTAGCTCAGTGTTTAAACGCATGTCGAATCTATGGTAGTCACCGATTCACTTGTTAATTGGGAATTAGAGAAACTTTACAAACTAATTATGTATGTAAATATAATAAATAAGTTAATTGTCTATTAAAGCTGAGGTTGAAAAACAATGAATGATGGTGGTTGTTAATATGCGCTGGGAAAAAGCTAATTTATTCAAAGTCGTTGGCTTGTGACCGACAAGGGATGACACGAGAGTTGGCATTCTCGGCCATTATTTATGATTTATTTTTTAACTCGCAGTTTTATTACTATATTGTATTTGCAACACAATAATACGACTATTTAGTTTTATTTCCAAAAAATTAAATTAACATCCTAATTTAAATATTAATACGTGGAAATGAAATTTGTTTTATTTTTATAAAAAAAACCACATAAATTTTTTTATTGTTTCAAAATTACTAAAACAGTTAAGAATACGTCGTACTCAGCGATATAAATGATATAATACAATTTGTTCAATATTATAATATACTTATTCATGATACGTTGATAATTTGTCTTATACATTAAAAACAATGGATTTTAATTTAGTTGAACTATTGTCGGCGAAAATTGGAAAAAACTCATTTTATTTTAGAAATTTAGAAACATTTCTTAAAATTGCAATACTTTGAAATTACATTTATCAATATTCTTTTGCATTTAAGAACTGCGATAAATCTTTTCTTTTAAACACTTATTATTCTAATAAGACATATTAGAGATAGTAAAATTTATTTCGGTATGCTTTGTAAGAAAATTCAATGGAAAACCGAAATACAGAAGAGATCACCCACGCCCGTAAAAGATTTTTTTCAATTTAATTTTTAAAAATGTTCCGGAACGTATGCCCTATTTTGATTTATATCGAATTAAAGCTCTTGAAGTATTCTAAAATATAAAAAAAACTATACAGAAGATTACTTGTATATAACAAATCGGCAGCCAAAGTAAAAATAAAAAAAACATTTTTCCAAAAAAAAATTCAATTTTCAATCAAGCAAATAATTTAACAAGTGTTTAATATTTGAATGAAATGCTGAAAACACAGAAATCGTGAAAATACAAATATACAAATTGTTATGAAATTAACAGATTCACATCGATGTGCTTTTTATAATAGTAATGTAAATCACTGTTAGATATCATCATCTATACTCGTCTCAATTACCCCACTGTGCTTAGATTTTTATATTCATTCCTATTGTTTTTTAAGGGTGTTGAATTAATTTTCCAAATGATTACATATATATTTAACTAGCTTATAAAATAGAAAATCGTGTAATTAAGAACACTGACTGATAACAACTTTTTTAGAGCAGTATTATTTTAGAAGTTATTAACAATAAAGTATTGACTGGTGATGAGGCGCGCGTGCTGCTATTTTTATTACTTTACATTTATTGGCCTCACTTCTTCCGCCCAAATATAAAAATGTTAATAACTTTTGAATAATGGTATCTAAAATTTTTTATCGACCAGTCAGTTTTCTTAACTACATTATTTTCTATTTTATAAGCTAGTTAAATATGTATATTGTCATTTAGAAAAATTACGTTGGTACCCATTTAAGATGTAAGGGATGAACATAAAAAGTGTTATATAACAGATAAATGGAAATACATTTGTAACCATCAAAAGTCAGAAAATAATTCATAAAAAATGATTACTTTATGAGAAATCCAGTGGCTAGCGTTACAAAAATCACCTGTATAATACATACATTATACATCTAAAAATAAAATACGGTATTTTTACGTCGCTGATCACACTAAATCAAAATCAAATCTTATGAGTGTTTTTAATTTTTCAATAAATCTAAACATCAGTCTGACACTTAAAATATGCACTTCCAACATGCACCACTGTAAATTCCCATCTAAACTTCACCTTTGCTATGGCACTCAGTATTATTTTACTGGGTTGTCCTTCAATTTCTTTCCATAGGGAGTGTGTTTACAGCGCGTCCAAAATATAATAAATAACATAGTGTTTTACTAAGCTTAATACCTGAAAGTTTATTTTACTTGTTTGTTTTCATTGTTATTTGATATTTTAAACGTTTTCAGTTATATTATAAGCCGTTGTTTTTTCTGTATAATTTAAGTACTACAAACAAACGTTTGTAATAGTTTATTTACTGCGATCATTTAAACTTTCAAACAATATTAATAATTAATATTGTTTGAAAGTTTAAACAATTNTATAATTTAAGTACTACAAACAAACGTTTGTAATAGTTTATTTACTGCGATCATTTAAACTTTCAAACAATATTAATTGTTTTTCCTACAAATTAAATTTTAAATATAATGTATACTATACATTTTTATATATTTTTTTAATTTTTCATAAATAAATATTTGAACGATGTATCTCAATTAATGAATACAGTAATCCCTTTTTTAATTTATGGTAATAAAACTAAATATTTCAAATGAAAATAGAAGTAGTATTTATGTCTATTTCGGATAGAAGAAACAATTTAAAAATGTTTTTTTATTAAAGAAACGGGATATTTTTCCAGTATGCCTTTTAATGGCATAATATGTTGTACAAATAGCCCTTATTGAATTGAAGAAATATTGTACAATAAAGAAAACAATTTTGAATAGCAACAAAAATCTTACCCTATCTTAAATTTTTTATAGTTTTGTTGACTTTTTAGGGATTTGAACAATAATATTTACGGATGACTAGCGTGGTGTTAGTCGAGAAATCGTTTTTTATATTTTTTCCATCGGCTAATAACGTTTCAGGTGTAGGAAATAGGTCTTAAAAATGAGGACCCGAATAGAGTCAATTGCGCATCGGTTAAATGATTATTTTAAAGTTTGTGTGCATAAGGTAAAGGCTTTTTATTATTTGAAACTTTATGATCGAATTTATTGCCGAATGCTTAATGATCTTAAAAATGATATTACTCGACAGAGAATTAGTAGTAAAGTGAAGTTTTCAAAATAAGTTGCCGTTATAATCTTTAGTTCACAATGAGTTTTAGTTGTATTAAACGCGTATATTTTGAACATTATTTGCAACCGATGATAAGTTTTGGCAACAAAGGTCTTATTTTATGGAACACTCGAGTAAATGAACTTGTGAACGCAATAAACTGGAGGAATTTATGGATGAAATTTGGTGAATACCTTGTTTAAATGAAAAAAAAGCAAGGTTTTTATGAAATATTGAGCATAATTTGGCCAGATGAAATGCGTACAAAAAGTTTTTGAAAAACTGTAGATATTATTGAACCAAGTGAAACAAAGTTTTAGTGTAAAGATAGATTGGGTGTGTATTAACGTAGAGTAGAGCATAAACACTAATAATAAGATTCAATTTTGTTGTTGTTGAGAAAAGTAAAATATGGAAAACATTTTTTTGTCATCATATAGAAAATATATTCATGGGCGTGTAGAGGTAAGGAAAATAATGGAACTGTACACTGACATGGAGGTTGTTCCGGGAAAAAAATAAAGATGGAATACTGATAAAATACCAGAGGGGAGAAAAAACTTGTAATCGAAAGAAAGAAATGGTTAATTTAGTAACAGTTAACTGTTATTTTGTACAAATGTCGTATAAATAAAAATAACCTGAAATACCACACTCAATCGAATTCGAAATAATTTTTTAGAATAAATTGAACCAATGTATTTATAAATAATTGCATATTTTTTCAAATCTAAGCAAGTATCGCGAAAAGTAGAACTGATTTAGTTCTAGCGGTATATTTTATATAATGGCTGAACTTTAACCAAACACTTTATTTTTCCAATATTAGTTTAATCGATTCTGTAGTCCGAGTCGAAGAGGGCAAATAAACAAATAAATAAATAAAAGAATATTTTTTCATGCTTTCAAATGACTTTTATCGTGCAATTAATGATAACTTGATCTGAAGTTCCACAGTTAGAAAGAGAATCCAGAAAATTGGGATCATTTTACCAATGCTTGCAATTTTCTGTCGTAAATATTTAATGAACTAAAACAACATATTGTATCACATCGATTTATAGTGTTTACAATTTAAAAATGTTTTAATAAATCGAACTTGCAATATTATTCTCTCGGATAAAGTTTATCTCGTGTATCAGAATACTTTTGGAATTATTTATAATTGAGTTTTAAATATTTCAGGACTATGTCATGCGACTACAATCGACTGGGGCCAAATCACTAATGGCGTGAGTAATGATACCAATATAATAAGTAGTAATGAAGCAGGACGCTGCCAAGGATGTTCTAAATCAGGATGTCCCGAAGAAAGATGTTGGAAACAAGATCCAGCGGAATGCCAATTCGGTAAACTTAAAGATTGCCACCCGTTGTGTGCTGGAGGATGTTATGAGAAACATTCATCGAAAGATTGTTATGTTTGTACAGCGTTTTTACATAATGGTGATTGTATCCGAGAATGTCCTGCAGGATTGTAAGTGTTACAATATAAACTATTTAATTTAAATAATATTCAAAACGATTGTACTATCGTGTTGTTATAAAATGGATTCCATTTTTTAAGGTATACTGTATTGTATTGTATTTAATTTGCGTGTTATTTCTGTAATATATTTAGTTGACATTGCAATGAAATGCTTTCTACATTTATAAATGTTATGTGGGTGCACACATTCTTGCATTATTAACTAATTATTAATCTTTTAGTTTAAATAAATTGAAATTGAGACAATAATATTTCTATGCAGTATAAAACAGAATTAGAAATAATTAAATCGTTTGTTTTAATTAAAAAATAAAAGTTATTTTATATGACTATTTGTTAGCACTAGATAAATTCATTTTGAGAGTACATCATTTTCTTCTCAGCTAATACACTACGACCAATTTGAATTTTTTACCTTAAACATTGATTTCTTTTTAAATTTTAAATAGATTTGAATTTTTCTATTTATACATTTATTCGCCATCGTGTTTCATGATATTTATGAAACAAGTATTTAATTTTTATTCAAAGCACATTAAATATTAGATAATGTTATATATGTAAAATATTTTCGTTTCAATTCAATTTTAAATATTTATTAAATGAAATCACCGAATTTTCTTTTTGTAATTATTTGATAACTTTGTGAATTTTTCGTATCCATTTTAAGTCAATAGTAAAACATATATTTAATAAAAGAGTATGCCATCTAAGTATACAAACATCACACTGAAATTATTAAAAATTATGCATCAATAATTTTTAAATTTGGTTTTATACTCTTCTTAAAAAAATATTAATACATATATAGTTTTAATATCTCATCTGATATACCATTTTTTTTAGATATGGTCACATCCGCTCTTGTTTAACTGAAGAACAATGTCGCAATTTGACTGTTGATAGAGAAGAATCATCGCTAGATATTCTGAATACTAATTATATTCCATTCGGACGACAATGTCTAGATGAGTGTCCTTATGAGTTTGAAGTCACACCTGATGGAAAGAACTGTAAACCATGTACAAGAACACCTGCAGGAAATTGTCAACGAAATTGTAATGGTTTCAAAATCACTGATGATATGCTTAGAAGTAGAAAAAGTGATGAATACCGTCTGCATACTAACTGTACGACAATTAAATCCTTAGAAATAGAAGTTAAATATGGATTAAGTGAAGATGTTGAACGGCGATTAGAAGAGTATGTTGGTAAAGTTGAAATAATTTTAGACCAACTGAAGATAATACGTTCATATTCTTTAAATTCATTAAATTTTTTGAGAAATTTGAGAGAAATACGAGGTGAAAATACTGGTAATAATATGTCACTAGTAGTTCGTGGAAATAAGAATTTAAAAGAACTATGGTCTTGGGACCAAAGGTTTTACAAAAAGAATTTGACTATAATGAATGGATCAGTGTCTTTTCATTACAATCCAAAACTATGTTACCAAGTAATAAGAGACTTTGGAGATACTGTTAAATTACCAACTTTTTCAGATTTAGAAGTATCTTCCATGTCTAATGGTGATCAGTATGCATGTTATGTTACTGAGTTAAAAGTAGAAACTGTTGGAATAGGGCCACAGTCTATAATTTTAAAAATGCATAAAGTTCAAGAAACTGATAATTTGGAGAGATTTCTTGTTTACTTTATTGAAGCATCGAAATGGAGTGACAATATTGAAACATCTGAATGCGAAGACACTAGTTGGAAAATTGATGATATAAGCTCTAAAAGAGTTTTCAATGAAACATCTATAGATCATGTCATAACTAATCTTGAACCCAATACTGAGTATTATTATTATGTAAAAACCTATACAATAGCTTCTAGAACTAGTAAGAGTAGTTTATTTAAAAACAAAACTCTTCCATCAAAACCGTCTGCTCCTCAAAATTTTGCTGCACAACCTTTATCAAGTTCTGAAGTAGAACTTTCATGGAAACCACCATCACATCCACATGGTAAATTAACTAAATATATAATTAAAGGGTTTCTTTTAAAAGACGATAGAGTTATTCTTGATCAGCGTAACTATTGTACTAATAAAATAGAAACTGAAGATAAGGAAAAATTGTATAAACCACAAACTTATGTAAAACCAACAGTTGATCAATCTTGTAGTCATTGTGAATCTCAAAAACCCAGTATCAACACTAATATGTGCAGTATGTTTGAACATGGTCTAACTATTGATATTAATGTATTAAGTAGCCGAAAATACATTTTTGAAACTTGTAGTAATTTCCTTAATGTGTTCATTGATGCAAAGTGTTTTTCATTGCAAAACACCGATGAAAATATATTTCAGAATTATGTTAATGAAAATTGTAAAGAAGAGTGGTCTATTAGCAATGCATTACAAAATGTAACTCAAAGAGACAATAGTTTAATTAATTTTTCTCTAGAGCTGAGTGAAAATTATACGTCGTATACTCTTAAAGACTTAGCTCACTTCAGTCAATATATATTGTCTATTATGGTGTGTCGAGAAATTGTAAGTCAAGAGTTCATGTTAAGTAAGGTTGATCATTGCAGTCATGAAACCTTGTTGTCATTTCGAACATTAATGAATTCCAATGCAGATGTCATTGATTCAAATCTTGTACATGCAGCTGTATATAACCTTACTGCTAATATTTCATGGGTTGAACCTATATTAGTTAACAGTATAATTCATAGTTTTAAGTTAGAATATAAACGCGTAAGTTCATCTGATACTGAGAGTAATACTGTATCTCAATGTATAACTATGAAAGAATTTGAACGTGGTGGAAGGTCACATGCTCTTATAAATTTAACACCGGGAGAATATCATTTCAGAGTAAGAGCTCAGTCATTAGCAGGTGAAGGACCATTTACCCCCTACAAAATATTTATTGTTAAAAGTGACAATTCTCCAGCTAATCTATACTTGGTTTTAATGGTCATATTGTTTGGTGCATTGCTGATTGTTTTTGTCGGATTTATCGTTCGTACGTATTTCAATCAAAAAATGCTTCAGCGCAATAGTGTATTTAATTTGGCTAACAACCCGGGTTATGTTGGAGTTTATGTTGAAGATGAATGGGAATTAGTAAGAGAAGATGTACAAATAGTGAAAGTCTTGGGCAGAGGAACATTTGGTACAGTACATGAAGGTTTGTTACTGCCTCATAATGAGCCATGTGCTGTTAAATCTGTTAGCAAGACAAACTTTTTGAAATATCATGCTGAATTTTTGAATGAAGCATCTATAATGAAAAAATTTAGTGAGGCATATCATATAGTTAAGCTATTAGGGGTGGTAACAAAGAGCTATCCTCCTTTATTAGTTATGGAACTAATGGGTAGAGGCGATTTAAAGAGTGTACTAGTTTCTTCAAGGGAATCTGGTGACCCACCTCCACCATCTAGGTAATGTTTTTAATGTTATTTGATTTAATTTTACTAGTTAAATAATTATATTTTACTTATTACAGGTATACTACTATTCGAATGGCTGCACAAATAGCAGATGGTATGGCGTTCCTAGAATATAACAAATTTATTCACCGTGATTTAGCAGCCAGAAATTGTATGGTGGCTAATGACTTAACTGTAAAAATTGGTGATTTTGGCATGAGTCGACAGATTTATGCTGGTAATTATTATCGAAAAGGCAACAAAGGTGATATGCCTATACGGTGGATGGCACCTGAAGCTATGGCTGAAGGTGTGTTTACTAGTCAGTCTGATGTATGGAGCTATGGTGTAGTGCTTTGGGAAATGTTAACATTAGGAGAACAACCTTACAAAGGAAAAAGCAATAATGATGTTATGGCCTATGTGCTTGATGGCAACATATTAGATTTACCAATATTTTGCCCTGATGTTCTTGCTGGTATAATGAAATCTTGTTGGAGTTGGACATCAGCACAAAGGCCAAGTTTTATAAAAATAATTGAACTGCTGGATGCGTTTTTGGATAAAGATTTTAAGTAAGAATGAGATATATATTTTTTGATAATTAATTTTTTTAATAATTAAATTACTCTTTACAGAAAAGTTTCATTTTATCATAACCGCAGTGCTGATGCTTCAATTGCTGAATATTCACTAATGTCCCCAAGTACTACTTATGAAGAAAATGTTGACAGTGAAAATCTCAATACTGATGGAGGCGACACTGAAGATGTTTATGCTTCATTTAAAGTAGACCCGAGAAATCTGAGTAATGGGCATTTGTCACCAATGTAAATTTGTGCTTTGACGAAAATAAAAGTGAAAATTTCATGTTACCATTTAAGTCTTTATTTAAAATAAGGTTTTTTTTACTTTTATTATATTTATGGTCCAAAATAGAGCTTAATTTAGTTTTATCATAGACAGTATAGCTTTTGTTGTTACATTTCTTTGAGTAATTTAATATTTTAATGCTGTAATTTTTAATGATAAAATTAGTTCATTTTTCATAAAAATATTTTTCTGTACCACCTATTTGTACATATTTTGTTCTAGCATCTAGTCAGTATGTGGAAGTTACATCTTGCTCCACAGTTTATTTTTTATTTTTATTTTAATACTATTATTATTATATTTTGTTTTATTTTTATAACATGTCTACATATTTTATTTGATTCATAACTGTTACGTATAGTAATTTTGGTTAAAAAAAATCAAGCTAACTGGTTTATTGTTGTAGGAAAAATTTTCCATAAAACAAATTTACCAGGTAAACTGAAAAGTCATTATTTTTTCGATCTGTTTTTAATTTTGTATTCAAAATAATTTGTAAAAAATTTTTTTACCAGTGACTATTGTCTGTGAAAAATTCTAATTTTTTCTATGATGATTCCAATCATTGTATTTAAATTAAATACAGAGTTAAAGTATATATAATAGTAATATGTATATAATATATTAAAACAATTTTTATATTAATGAATGTGTAGTGCTAATTTTTTGGTTACGTACAGATGGGGGAAAATTAAAATATCATAAATAATAATAATATTAATACATATAATAATTATGAACATAATTTTTTAAGAATGATAAAAAAATAAATAAATTTTTGAACTTAAAGTATAAAATTATCTAATATTTTGTAAATATAAGCCTTAAGTTAAATATTTATTTATGTTATTAAGGGCTCCTATACGTTTCACTAAATAAGAACTGTAATTTGAAAGTGCAAAGTAATCTATACATTATGAAATTAATAATAGTTCTGTTTTAAATATTTTATAACTAAATTTAATAAAAATAATTGTTTATTTTTGAATTTTCAACATTAAAGACAAAATTGAATATTTATATAAAAATCTCTTATTAAACACTTTAAAATGTGTCCATATAAAAAATTGCAGTAAAAATCTGTCAAATTTGCTCAAAAAGTTTTACAATTTTTTATACAATTAAATTAAAGTTTTTCTATATTGATGTAAACATTGAGAAGCCCTTTAGAATTGAGACTGTTTTTAGAATTAATTTTAAGTTTTTTTATCAATAAATATGATGTTTTAAAATTACAAATATGTTTGAAAATTAAAAATATCAAAAAATGAAATATTGTTGCTCGTTAAGTTTAAATTGTTTTTTTATAATTTTTTTTCATGATGAATAAGACTATTCAGCTACCTAAACAATACAACATGATATTTATTGTTGAGTATAAATAAAAGTGTTTGAAATATTAAAATCGAGTATATGTCATTACATTTTCATAGCAATATTATTATGTATTTCATTTGTTGACTACAATTTTCTTATTTTTCTAGTTGATCAGTTGGTTACATAATTATTTTCTACAGCTCTAGCTTTTTATGTGTGTGGCTACTTTTTCTCAGCTATCACTAAACCAATATCTTTTGATGATAAATCAAAAGATCATAAATCGTAACTAGTTGAAGACATTTCCCTTAAAAATTGAAAAAATTTCCCTCGTTCTCTGTTAATGGGGAAAATCTGAAAACAAATTACAATTTTTGAAATTGTTAAATTTTGACATTTTTTCCTTTTTTATTCTTAAAACTGCCAAAAACTTTTTGAAAAATGAACAAAAAAAATAATTTTGTTTATATAAAAACCTTATGTATTTCCCTTTTATTTAATATAATTTTTTTCAAAAGAGCATCTTTTTCACAAAATTCAGTTTTTTCAACTTAACTTTTGAAAATGTTCTAGAAATACTGCGACTGTTGAACACATGTTAAATTAAAGCTTATGTTACGTACTATACATTTTCTAGAATTAAAATATTTAAAAAAAAGAAAATCATAGAGTTTCTTATGATAGTGATTTTAAACACTGTTAGATATCATCTATACTTGTCTCAACTATGCCACGTTCATACTGTGCTATCGTTTTTGTTAAAATTTTATGGTATACATTTTATCAAAATTCTGTTGTAATGATTATATGAGTATTCTATTAGTTTTTTTTTTTTTATAAAAATTTAAAAGTGACAAGTTTTGTATAATACCAAAACATGTTGAAACCATATTAATTTTTTGCTCTGACCACTTAAATAGTTTTATTAAAATAAAATTTACTTGGCGAGCTCGACAAATTTGATCGAAATTGATTTTGCTTTGTAGCGGGTGTCGTTTGCCTTTTTCGTAGAAACTCATATAATTTCTCAAATTATCAATACTTTTTGCGTAAGCCCGAATTGGTTGCTAAAATCGGCGAAATAATTTGAAACCATCCAATTAAATATAATCTAAAATTGGAGTATTCTCCAATTATTAAATTTTACATCGATCTATATCTACAGAATTTTGTTACGGTGACCCTTTCCATATTTGATCAGATTTATAAGAAGTGAAGTTCTAACATAAGCTAAACAAACATAACCTGACATAATTGTCTTCTAAAAAAAATTAGTGGTATTAACCATGTATTGTTTTTATCTAGACCAACAATATTAGCATGCTAACTTTTTCAATTTCTGTAGCGTAGAAAGTTACATTTTTCTGTTTTTATTCTTTCTAGAAAAGTTGTGAATAGTATTGTTTTGAAGTACATACATTTTATTATTTACCGTGTTTATAGGCAAATATCAAAATCCAGTACCAGGGATTTATGAGGAATAATGTATGCGATTACACGTTCTAGTGTCTCAAAGAGGTGTCCGGTGTCTCGTTGCGGTCGTAATGTAATCACGTTACTTGTAGTCTGGTGTCCAATGCACGACTGCACAGCTTCGATAATTGGACATCGCGATAGTCGCAATATATGTAGTCTTAAAATATTTCTAATAAATATGTATTATTTTTTACAATTATTGTCATTCCACGGACAACAATTACACTTGGTTAATGACCATCGCGGTTTAGCACTATTGTCTAGCTTAAAATTTTGTACCAGGAATTCATGAGATAACGAGCAAACGTTGTTGTTATTTTAGACCGGCATTGGCGTTCTTCGATAAATATCAAAATATAGTACCAGGAATTTATGCGACCATTGTTCAGGCATCTCGATAATTTGTTCAGCGTCGTCTCGCTAGCGATTTCCTATGTGACCACCACATTACTTTAACTGACACAGTTATGTTGTACAGGAAATGACTCTCATTTAGTTTCTGACTCTTAAAGTTTTAACTTTCATCTCACGATGTTTTCATGTCACCCAATTGATTTATAAATATTTTATTATAATAAAATTAATGTATATATTACATTCGTATTAATCATTTAGAAATATATTTTTCAAAATGTAGCTTGAATATATACTTATTTTGGTCATGTAACTACTTCACTAGATTTCATACTCATTATCGCTCTGTATTAATTAAGATGATCTAAATAATTTGTTTTCAACCCCTAAAGTACTAAATCCGACTATGCTCAGGATGGTCGTAAAATAACCACTTGCAACCACAAATTTGTTATTTTTGATTCACTTGTAAAATTGTTAAAATAATTAAAACACCGATAAAATAAATGTTGCGATTTACAGTCATAAAATTTTTCTTGAATATCATAGTGATTATCTCGAAAAGATTATCCCTTAAAATTATTTTCCAAAAAAAATTTATGTCATTAAAATTTGTTTTTAATTATAGAATAATATGTCAGTATGTGTTTAGCGTTGATAATGGTAACATTGTTTCCGAAATACGTATCCGCGACTTTTATGTAATTTTTTGTGGCTTTTTGAGTTTAATATTTTTCATATATTTTTAATTTTATTTATAGAATAATACACAAATCGAGTGGTTTCTAAGGAAGCTTTGATTTCGACAAACTTGGATATCGTGTAAATAATATATATGTGGCTTAATTTAAAAATTATTTCAATTATATTGCAACCATTTTTAAAACGATAATTATAGAACGTGAATCACATATTCTTTGAAAGTATCTTTTGGGTGCAAAGGAAAACTCAATTAAAAGCATATTGCGCTTTTATAATAACATAAAAAAAATAAGATATATTTTTAAACAACTGTAGGAAAACGAATGTCTTTTAGTGGCATTAGTTTTATATGAAAATTACGTGAAAAATTCAGTGATGCAGCCAAGAGAGATTATATTTTCCTATTTAATAGGTAAATACACACTGTATGCGTAGTATCTTAATGTTTGGGATTAAATAAATTAATAAGGGTTGTTTAAATAACACTGAGATCTCAATTCCTTTACAAGACATGCCCACACGCCGAGTAAAGCCATTGTAAAAGTATGAATACTGAACCCAATAACCGTTCCAAAATGCAAGACCTATTTAGGGTACTCATACCAAATGATTCTTGTGGCAATTAAAAACAAAAGGGGAAAGTGTGTTTAATACAAAAACGAAAACGTAAGGTTTAGCTTTTATCAGATTTGTTGTTTAATTTTCTCAACTCTAAATGTTATTAAGACTGAGTCTACGGTTCTAATGTTGAACTACCTTTATTCAGTTTTTAAGCACTCCATGGCAACACGTGCCTACGGTTTTATTTTACGACGACGAGGTGCATTGGTCGTTCTTACGACCACACGTTAATGTATAGTTTATTTGTGCGATTAAATAAAAAGTATTAAACATAATCCATTAATATAGTATGTTGTTTTCGTATTATTTTTGTCGGGGGTGCCTTTTTAACTGTCATAAAACTAAAAAGTAATAGAGTCATAAACAAATTCATCGAGCATTAATACTAAACTCATTACAATAAAATAAAAATAAATGAATACAATTCTTAAAAATCCAGCACAAAAGAGTTTTGGCATAGTTGGGACAAGTATAAAATTTACATTTGTCTCAAATATCATCCAAAGATATTTGACAGCGATTAACATCACAATAAAAAAAAAACGATTCGATGTGAATCTGTTAAATTTATGTATTTGTAATTTTTCAAACAATAATGGGATGGATTTTTGTGTTGATATCGTAGTACGCTTCAATTTGATATAGGGCAAACGTTTTAAAACATTTTCAAAAATTGAGTTGAAAACTTTTTACTTGTGTGATTAATCTACTTCAAAAATTAATCTAATTCAAAAAATGTCATTAGGATCAGAGTTTTAAAAGAAAATTATTAAAATGCAGAAAAAAATGTCATTTTTTACGGTATATTTTTCTAAATTACTAAAATTGTGAGGGGTT